GAGTGTGTGTGACAGGGAGATACAGAGGGGTCTGAAGAAGCCAAGCAAGATTAAATGTATTTTTTTCTACAAATTTTTGGCAAAGATCTGTATTTTCCAATTCTTTCCAAATAGGAAAAGCAGGGCTGCTATTTGGCATTGATTGCAGGGTGGCTTCACTTTCACTGTGGCTTTCTTCACAGTGGTTTATTTTTATCTATCTCAAACACATTTTATAATAATAAAAGTCAATAAAATGAGCCCATGTTCACTTGCACTGGTTGCAAACTTTTTATTGTTTTATCATCCCTTTTACGTAAGTCTTCAGTGAATGTTGCTGCACAAATCCACTTTAACACTGGATTCTAATAGCAAAAATATAAATAACGAAATCTCCTCTTCTAGATAAAGCACTTTTCTCCTGTTCATCTCTGTGTGTTCCAACTGTGTTCCAGATTTCTACCACAATATGGCGAAACAGGCGACTTCCTTCTAAATCCTTGCACACATACCGGTTGGGTTTGCAAGACTTTGTGCGTTGGTTTGCACATATTGGAGCACTCGTCCCCTGCTGGCCAAATGCAGTTGACGTGACACAACATATTTTCAGTATAATAAAGTTTGATAGCAGAGCAATGTTCAGCCATCTACAATAAATGCTTTTAGTATCATCTCAGAAATGAAGGGAAACAGACTTTATAGAGTGAGTATTTTAGTCACACAGGGAGAACTCATTAAGAACATGAGAGGAACTGTTCTGTTGTTGTTATCACTGCTGCTATCTTCGCAGCTCCCTCCCTTAGCTGGATGCAGCAAATTCAGTACAAATGTTTTGCACCTAGCAGAAAATGTGTCATAACCCTGTGGCTAAGCAGGATTATTGAACATACAGTGAAAATTGAATAAATGCATTCATAAATAGTCAACTGCATTTTAAATCTGCCCCAACCTCAGTTCTCTTTCCTCCAGTCGGCCTCTTCTCATGCGTGTCAACCTGCAAATATGTTTGCTTTGTGTGTGTGTGTGAGAGAGAGAGAGAGAGAGAGAGAGAGACTAGTAGCTTATTTTATGTTGCTTGGAGTGTGTGTGGTGTCTCATGCCAGCCAGGAATAAGTCTGTATGCTTATGGGTGTACAGTATGTATATGTTTAAAAAAACATATTCTATTCATTATGCTACTTAGTTTGCCCAAGTAACAAGGTAGCCTTTATCCATAAACACATACACACATTCACACACATTCACACTGCTCAGATGCTTGCCAGGTTTGAGATCCCGCCATGCGTTTTCTGTGTGTGTGTATCTTGTGGTCTTGTGGTTTGTTGATATAGCCTAGCAGGCGGCCTTCACTTGAGAGGTTGCATTTTACTATTAGATGAAATGTTGCTTTGTGTGGACACACATGTGCACACTCACACACACACACACACACACACAGACAGTATATTGATTGAGGAAAGGTAACAGGCTTGTTATTGATAGAGGCTTATTTGTGTGTGGCAGACAGTACGTCACATTCACTCTCTTTTTCTTGCTAACTCCCTCGCATTATGAGCATAAGGACCACCAAGGAGGCTGACCACACACACATACACACAGATCCAGACAATGTACAGTGAGGCAAACGTTGGAGTGAAAATTGATATGCAGTTATTTTTTTATAGTTGTAATGATGTTTTGTCAATGTGGAAAAGGATAAACAAGTAGTTAATTATAAACCCATGTAAATAGGATGTGTTTACAGTATGTTGGCAAGGAAGCTGTCTGTTCATGTATCTGAATTCCTTTCCTCCTGTCAGTCACTCCTTATTTTCCCAGGTGTCCCTCCGTTTTCCGTCTTCTCTGTCAGTCATCTGTCTCTTTATCTTAATGTCTGATTGTCTAAATCTACTGAGAGATAAACCATGTCCATCACATGCCTATTGATTAGACGCACATACATATACTGCATCTCAGTAACTCATGTATTGATTAAGCTTCACTAAGCAAAGAGAGTCTACCCATCGCTTTGATTAATACTGTACATGCACAGCTTCTTCCTCTGGCATGATGTGCTGAGATATTCAAATAAAAGCATGTTGAACAACTGTTTAGGGTGATGTTTTTAATGTTTAGATCAACATGTTTAATTAGTGATTGTTTTAAGGCACCTATTATTCTGACACTACATCATACGTCAGTGGTAAACTTTACGCTGTTTTGATTCTGTTGTTAAATCAATTTGATGGAAAATGCAGCTGCAATTGTGGAACATTTACTTGGAAAGTTTTACTCTGTTTTTTGAGAAAATAGTGAATGTAATGGCTCTGCTTTCGAGATGCATGAGCAGTTGGTAAAAGCAGTCATTCAGGAGAAAGCAGTTTCAGAGAAAAGATTTCATGTCATCTGTGGGGATGAATGTGCTCAGAATAGCATAAGAAAAGTATCACATTTCATTCTTGTGGAGGCTGCACACATTCAGATAAGGTCTTTACTGTCTAACCCAAGGCAAAACAGCATGAGGTGATTTTTACATGTAACCATACACTCAGTTTGCTGTAACTAACACTTGTACTGAAAAGGGCGCGAGCCAATACAGATACCTGGCTTCAGTGTAACAGAAGAGGTGGGCTTGGCTTAAAGCGGGAATGTAATTACAGTTTTCAAGTGAATTGGCACCACCTACTACAGATGTTTTGTTGAAGCAGACATACACCCACTGATAATACACTGACACTACACCTACACTTAAGCTGACAATTAGCCCACAATATCACACTCGGCCATTCTAATCCCACCATCAGTCTAAAGGGCCTCAAGTAAAAAAATGTTTTTATAAGGAAAAACAATTTCTATTTAATGACCTTTTGTTAGATAAAGTCCTTAATGCTTTGTGGGGAAAAAAATGGAACAAATATTTTCAGTGAGGTCAACTGAGGTTTAGACAAAGATCTGTATCGGGATGTGTGCGTGTGCTTTGCTTGTTAACTTTGATATTTAGACCAGAGAATCGTGGCAGGAGATTTAGAGTGGCTTTGCTCTGTACGAGTGGCTCCAATTAGTCTGGAAAAAACACATGCACACGTACACACACACACACACAACACATACCTGTATATGCACATTCATTCATGCACACAGGCACAGATAACTGTGCAAACAAATGTGACAAATATCCGGATTTCTGAACGCAAGAAAGCACACTATGATTGCTTACACACACGCATACAAGCACATTCACCAGACAGACACTGGCAGAGAGACCTGTGAAAAACATACCGCGGACCAACATGAGGAGAGAAAATTCAATAGTTTTTAATGATTCTGTTCAAATATTTTATCCAGAATGGCAAAAGATTGCATTTGTCTCATGCTTTTATATAAAATACCATGAATGCTGATAATTTTTTTGAATGAGCGTTCGTAGGAACCTGCAAACCTGGCAATCTGTACTCAACAGAAAAGGTGAAGTCAAATGTTTTGCCATGTTCAAATATGCATATATCCATCGCAGCATCATATTGACTGTTGTAGTCAATCTCAGTAAGGGCAACAGTTGTAGTTATGGGAGTGTTTAGAAGCTGATGGGTTACACAAGTAAAGATATTCTTTAACAGCCTCAGAATACTGAGCCATGATAGTTGAGTTGACCATGAAATGTTTGTGAAACAGTTTCATGTTTTATTCTTTATATGCTTAACAATGCAAATGCTGTTGTGTCACATTTTACGTCAGTAAGTGACCAGTTGTGACGTGAGATTTGAGATTTGTGGTGCTGTGCATTCACATTGTGCCACACAACAATATGATTTCCTGGAGAAGCAGATTCTTCATTTGTTGAGCTGTTGTTGTCATGTGTCACTGTGATTGGCTCAGCACTTTCAGAATGATTAGATCAGTGATGTGACTGGCTAAGAGCATATTTATGAATCATCAAACCCTCTGATCACATAACACTTCATTCAGCCCTTTTGCACTTTACTTTACACACTTGAAGACACCCACACAGTCTGTGTCCAAGACCTCATGCTTTGCACTTTTTGCTTATAGTTTTTCCCAAAAGTGTCCTTTTGTCTTTACAAATTGGCCTACAAGTAGACCATTAGCACTTAGTGTCACACCTTACCAATTTAACTACAGAGCAATAGAAAAATGTATTTTAAATTGAGAAGATGAACTGCAGGTGACAATGCTTAAAATGTCAGTGAATGTTTACTTGCTGAGTGCTGTTTCAGTTGACATTAGCTTTGATGTCATTACATATAGGCTTAATGATTACAACTAGGTTGCTATTTAATGTGTGTGTGACATTTTCTACAATTTATTTTAAATATTTTGAACTTTCTGAGGCATGAATGTAAAATAAATAGTTTGTGTCACCATCACTGAGCTGTTCCCTCTTATTCAAATAGTTTTTATTGCCTTTTATGGGAGATACATTTTGTAATTTCCCATCGCTAGAAATTGATAGTCAAGCAATTAACCTCTTGTATTAAGAACAAATGGCTGCTGTTTTATTGCACCAAGATGCTTTACAGATGATTCAAAAGTGAACACAATGTTTATACTGGAAAAGAAAGAAGGGAGAGGAAAGCCAAAGGCAAGAGGTTTTCATTTCTGTATTAGAGGACTCTCCTTGCTGCCAGCTTCTGTGACACTTTTACCCTTTGGACTCTCTTTGGAGTATATTGTGTGTTATTGTGCGTGTGTGTGTGTGTTCGTGTGTGTGTTTTTCTATGTCTGTACTTGCTTTTGCATGTCCTTATCTGGGTATGTGTGCCTCTTTACACATCTTCCTCCTGGCTAGACAGCAATGTTTCTGGGATTTTCTATAAATATTCTTTGTCATGATTTGTCCAATATACAATAATTTATTCTCCTCTCCTCTCCTGTCCTCTCCTGTCCTCTCCTGTCCTCTCTTGTCCTCTCCTCTCCTTTCCAGCAGCTCAAAACATGCTGTTCTTGCTTTAATTTTGCTCCCATTCATTCTTCCAGACATCAGTCTAAATCCCTGATTTCTGTTTCTCTCTCTCTCCTTCCAGGATCCCTCCTTCTCTCTCCTTCTTCATGATAAGCTTCAGGTGCCCAACAGTTCTCGGCGGGCATGGAATGAACGTGACAGTCGATGTGATGTCTGCGCCACTCACCTCACTCAGCTCAAACAGGAAGCTGTGCGCATGGTCCTCACTCTCGACCAGTGGGATTTGTCTCCCACCTCTTCCCCTACGGCCCTGATTGGACGATATGGATCTCAAGGCCTTCCCAGTTCAATGGGAGCATCTGGAGCACCAGGAGGTCCTGGGTCACGGGAGTGGCCTCCTCCTTTTCTCCCTTCCTCCTCATCTTCAGCTGCTGCTGCCGTTTTACATCCTCCTCACCCGTCCTCCCAGTCGCCCTCACCAAGCCCCAGCCAGACCCCAACGCCCAGCCCGGGCCACGGACCATCCAACCCCAGCCATGGGAGTCCCTCGGTGGGGCAAACATCCAGCTTTGCTACCACAAACCCACAACCTCAAGGCCTAGGGCACAGGCTGGGGTCCAAGCCCAGCTCCCTGGGGCTTGGAGGTGGGACGGACAGAAGGAATGGGTCCCCAAGTTCAGCAAAAGCTGGTGCCCAACAGCAACCAGCGGCTGCAGTAAACAGCCCTGGCAATAATAGTGGTAACAGCAGTAATAATGGGAGTGGAGCAGTACTGAGCACAGCAGCTCTGCAGGCCCATCAGCACCTGAACCGGACTAATGGAGGAGTTACACTCTATCCGTACCAGGTAAGCCATCTAAACAGACGTTTTTGTGTGTGTGTGCGTGTGTGCGTGCCTTACAGTAACATGAAACTCCGTAGAGCTAGTTCCCCCACGAGGAACTGCAAATATTACTATAGAAACTGAATAAATGTATTCTGGTTTTATACGATAATATCAAATGGTAACAAGCTACCAGCATGCAGATGAATACATCTCTTGTTATCTGACAGACAGGACAGGAAGTACAACATTTCACATTTTCAACTTGCAGTCTACTTACTGTAGTCTGACCTTGTTAGCTATCAACCACTGACAATACCTGACATCTGAGATAATGTGTTCAACATTAACATCCAGGCTCTTCTGCTCTCCTCTGTTTAATTGCTTTTTTTATTTCTCTTTTCTTCCACTTGTCTTCTTTCACCTTTCCTCAGTTTATACAAAGTCAGACTAAGCTATATTGCATCTACCCCAGGAAAAGTGTGTGTCTGTGTATGTCCATGTGTGCATGTCTGTGTGTTCTTAATAAGACAAGGACACACATCATACAACAACGGCCTCAAGGTAGACGCATCATCTTGAACAAAAATTAAAAAAGGAATGGCATGCATAGTCAGTGGAACAGAAACAGCTGTAAGAACTAAATAAAAAAAAAATTCTATCATTTGGATATAAAACAGAGAAACAAAGAAACACATGAAACTGGTTACATTTGTCTAGAGACTTTTTGTGCTTCTCCCAAAAAGTATTGGTTGAAAAACAAAATTAACGACATGAGGTAATTTTTACCACTGTCATGTTATTGGTGATGTAGACAACTGTCAAATCCAAATTGGATGGTGGCGGGACTGTAAAGTTTCAGGAAATTTACCCACAAAAAAACTGAGCTTGCTTCAGACTTGTTAACTTGGTGACTGGGACGGCAAGGCCTCAGTATCCACTAAAACAGAAGTTTTCAAACTGTGAAGCTCTGAGGCAAAGACACTCTGTTTAGGAGATTGCAATTAGGGTACTTTAAAACCCTTACTTTGCATCAGACTCCTTCTGGGAGTCATAACTCAGTCCAGCCTTAACACATAGAAATATATTTTTTAATATATTTATTAGCAAGGGCTGTCAATTAAATTATTATTATTCTTAAATTATTGCAAAGAGACATTTCGAAGTCTGTTTTACTCAAATAGGGCTTTCCCATGAGGACGCAATAATCGACTTACAATTTTCTTGGATTTGATAACCATCTCTTATCGAGAGGGAAACAAAATATCTTTTTCCGCTGGATTGAGGCAGAACATTTACAAACCTTAAAAGTTATTCAAACTTAAAATCGAGATAATAGAAGAGATTTTAGGAGGAGACAGGAAGAGAGGGAGTGTAAGTAGACAAGACAGGAAGATGGTAGGAGGGAGAAAACGCCTCAGGTGACACGTGGTCTATAGGTGTACAGAGGGAGGCAGGAGAGCTGAGACTCCAGGGGAGATCCAGAGGTGTGTGTGTCTGTGTGTCTGTGTGTGTGTGTGTTAACATGTGTGTATGAACGTGTTCTACAGATGTAATAATTCATACAGTGATAATTAGGACTCCGGGGACTCTATGTCATACACCCCCAGTACCCCTTCACTCTTTCACTCTCACTCACACACTCACACACACACTCTGTCTCTACTTATTGCTCATGCCTCTTTCTTTCCTTTTCCCCTATTATTTCTCCTGTCTTTCTCACACTTTGTCTGTTTCATATTAACCCCGTCGTCTATCTTGCTGTTCCCCATCTCTTTTTATATTTTTATTCATCCCCATGACTTGAACCTGATGCAGAGATATGGAGTTGTAGGTGAAAATTACTTTGTACAATCTCAGGAATTGTTTCATTATCTTGTCCTGCTGGTCAGAAATAAATTAGGCATGAGAGCTGTTATGTATTCTGGCCGTTCTTTGTGGAAATGTCAGTGTTCAAATCTGAAGGAGCTCTTCTCCCGAATTTCAATTTATTAGATAATAAAGAATGATTTTGTTTTTCCTTTTTCCTCTTCTTTTATATTATTTTGACATAGGGAGTCAGTTGCTCTGCAACATTTATCCATTTTTGACCATATTTCCCTTGAAAACAGGATGCTGCTTTTTCCTTTGTCTTTCATAATATTGTATGCCAGTGTATTTGTGTATTAATGTCTTTGTGCAATACAACTTATATTTCAGTGTGCAAGAGTGTGTCTGTGTGCTTTTGGGCAAACAGTATGTGTGTATGTAATTTGCGTGTGTGCATGCATTTCTTTGTGTCAGTATTGATGCATGTGTGCATGTAGTTAAGTTTTATAGTGTACAAACACTGGATGCATGTTTGCAGGAGTGTGAGTGTGAAAGTATATCTTTATATCTCTGTTCTGTATGTGAGTTAGTATCTGTGTTGTGAGGTGTAAAATGTTCAAGAGTCTGAGTGCGCTGTGACTTTGACAATAATGGTGTTTCAGCAAGAAAGGAGAAACAGAGCACGATAATAAATCACCCTCGTTTAGACTCACCCCTGAGAGAGGAAGAGAAGGGGGAGGAGCTGAGCAGAGAAACGATCAAAAAATGGGAATGGAAGTAGGAAACAGAAAAATGAAGAAAGATTAGAGTAAGAGGTGTAGAAGATGAAGGAAAGGAAAGAGAGAATGAGAATAAGAGACATTTTATTATGGAGACATCAGTGTATAGGGACACATTGCTGGGATGACTAGCTATGTCTAAAACGTCTGAAAGTCTGCTGTTCATGTTCTTGCATCAGTGGAGCTTTCACAAAGTCTTACAAAGGCAAATGATCTAACGCACGCCAAATGAGGAATCTCTGCCAACATGTTCACACTTTTCCTTAAAGTGAAAGAGAAAACAAACACATGTGCAGCGACTCCAGGGGAAGTCAATAGAGTTTAAATTGAAAGTCTTCACCAAGAATCAGTTGGCTTTATGGGAAATGTGGTCTTACTCTTCAGATGCACTACCAACAACAACACTGGTATGTCTTTTTCGATTAAATAATTTGAATTAGTAAAATCATTATCAAAGTCACCTTTAGAGGTAGCACAGCAAGAGCCAGAGAATAAAAGGAGGACACAGAGGTAGACAAGAAACCTGTCTTCCTCCAGTGTAGCTGACATTAAAACCTTGCTGGCTCAGCAGTCTAAGAGGTGACAACCTCCACATTTTATATTTATTAGGACTTTTCTTTCTTGTCCCACAAGAAGTCTAGGACAAAGGGGAAACGCTGATTCAGTCGGAACAAGGAAGACTGATTATAAAGGACTGAGGGTGAATCTCTCAGGTAGCTTACTGGGATCAGTGAGCCGATGAAGGTCACAAATATTTTCAAATAGATAAAAAAACACAGTAAAGTGTAAGTAGTATTAAACATATCATAATTGACTATAGATGTTGGTGGCATAGCATATGGAAATTGGTAAAACCTGGTCAGTCTGTCTGCATTTGAAGAAGAGTCTTTCATTTGAACTAATTTGGGATCCAGCTGGTTGATAAATGTTAATTTCCTGAGTCCAGTAACTGACCAAAAGGCTGGTGAGCGTGAACCAAATGTCCAGGCTTCAAAGCAATGGGTGACGTCAGACAGCAGTGAGCTCAGTGATGTATGGTCCTTTAATTTACTCAAAGAAACCACCCAGAAACCAGTCTGTCCTTTTGTTACATTGTGTCACATTTGTCATTACTGTACCTTTAACTGGCAGAAAGTGTAAAAATAAATCAGGGACAATCAAGTACATCAACTGCTTATTTATTTTTTGAGGGCTTTTTTTGTTGGGGTGGTGGTGGCGTAGCAGGACTAGATTTCTCTATCACTCTCTCACTCTCGCTTTCTCCCTGGCATGAGACAACAAATCTAATATTGTCTCTTTGTCCTCGCTCTGTCCTTCAAGCAGCTAACTGAAAACAGGTTTATACAATATGGTGTGTGTCTGTGTGCCTATGTGTCTGTGAGTATGTGTGTGTGTGTGTGTGTGTGTGTGTACATACCGATTTCAACAATGGTTAGATTAGCTTTCCTAATTTACAGTGTTTCTGTGTGTTGTTCCAGCAGAGTGTCAGACTTAGCTGGATATCCTTTAGGATTAATTAGGTTAGAGAAGCTTGTAACCGAAAGGTCGCCAGTTCAGTCCCCGGCAGAATAAATTTAGCCGTGGAAAGTGAAAGAGCAGCGATTGCCCCACCCTTATTACCACCACCGTGGGGCCCCTGAGAAGGCCCTTAAAGGGGAACTCTGTGTACAGGTGTGAGCGAGTACTACTGCATATGTGAAAACGCCTGTTGTGGCTCTGCTGCACAAAGTCTGATAAATTGCCTTAAGTGATATCACTTAAACTGTCTTCAGTCAAGTTGAATTATGGGTAATGTAAGCTCCAGATTTTCATAAGGAAGAAAAATATGTAGGGGAAAAAAATCATTTTTTTCTGCAGTAATTATCTTTTTTTTTTAAATGTTTTTAAAATACTGTTACAGGTACATATATAGTGTAAAGTCTTCCATCTCATTAGCTACAATAAAAGCTCATAAGCAAGCTGAGCTAAACTCACAAAAACAATGTGCATGCCATTAAATATTCCAGTCAAGGTCCCATTGAGTTTCTCTATGAGGGAGTAGTGCACACACTCAACAGTGAGGACAATACTCAACATCTTTAGTTTTGTGTTGCTGCATAATTGCATGACATAATGATAAGCATGCTTAGCTAACAGCATTAGGAAAAGTAATGTGTATTTTGAATCTCAAGTGTCAGAGAGCATGTCTTATTATCTCTGATATCCGATATTCCATAAATCAAACTACATTTCCTCTTGTCATTATTTTCTCTTTTAACTGTTTTTCTTGAGGCTGTTTCCTACTTTGTTTTTACAACATACTATATATGTGTTGATATAAAGCATCAGGTATTCATTTCCACTCTCCTCTGTCTCACCTTTGCTCTCTCTCTAATTGACTCCCACTCTTTCATTTCTTTGTCTCCTCACCTCCTCCCCCTCAACATTTAATTTCCT